AGAACCATGAATTTCTACCCCTATTTGTTCCATCCAAATGCACATATTACGAACATAATCAATGAAAGCAAACTTAAATGTTCTATCTTCAATTGTTTTTGCTGCTGTTGCTTTTCTGCTTTAATGGCCAATTAAACTACATTTGCGGTGAAGGTCCATATAAGAAATGTTCTTATATACTTATATATTATGCCTGTAGATAAGCTACATATTTAGGGAAATCATTAACACTTGATCTCAAAGCATTGCTTGTCAAACGTTAAGGTGCTTGTAAAACACCTGGGATCCTTTTGAAATGCAGATTCTAAGTCAATAGTTCTGGAAATTCACATTCTAACTAGCTCCCAGCTTTGTCCACACTTTGAGTGGGGAGGCCCCAGAGAGTAAAGCTTTTAATAATTATTTTATCCCTTGCAGAACACCCAGAGAAATTTATCTGTTGCCTTCATTATAGTATTGAGCACTTGTATCACCTACTGTTATGGCTTTTTATGCACTTCCTTCATTTTTCTACCCTGGATAGTCAGCTCCAGTAGGCGCCCCAGATCAGAGTCCTGTTCTTTTGTCATCATGTCCTTTCTACTCCTTCGTCCTTAACACAGTGCCTGATGCATTGTGAGTCTTTGAATAAGTGGATGAAAACATTCATTTTACACAGCAGTGCAGCTTTGCTGATGTAGGGAAATAAAAATAAATTTCCCTCTACTCTGAGTTCTTAGCAGAGACCCCTGTAATAAAAGACAAGTTAACAAGGGAGAAACAAACATATGTTTAGTAACATGTATACCTCATGTGTATTTGAGAAATATCCAGGAAAAATGAAGAACTTCCAAGGTGGCTTAGAATTTAAGATTAAATACCATTTTAAAATAGAGCAAGGGGGAGGGGGATGTAGGCCTCTTAGAGGAGAGTGAATGTTTTTTAGGAAAGATGAACAGACCAGAGGAAAGAGATGGGAGATATCTCTAGTTTGTGACAAAGCTTGCCTGGGAGTGGAACTTTTAGTCTCCTCTCCTGTGACAAGAGTCAGTCTTCCCTAGTAGGTAAAACTCCCAGGGAGGGGATTCGTGACAAGTGACTTTATTTGGGGGAAACTGCAGATAATGGGGGTTCAGAGAAAGCCTCTCCCTGTATTTGCTATTTTTCAAGTGCCTGCAGCTCAAAATAATCAATATGCCAAAGTGACATTTTGGGGTGACATATTATGATATCCCTCACTGACAAAAAAAAAAAAAAAAAAAGTTTTAAAACTGGATTGTTCTTTTCTGTTTTAAAGGCCAAGCTAGACTTTTAAAAATTGTTATACTTCCTGAGTAAAGCGGATTATTTTGTCTCAGTAGAAGAGTCTTTTCCAATGAAGCCAGTATACCCTAGACATAAGACATGAAAATATAATCCATGCATAGTAAAGAAATTCTTCACTAATGCTCCCCTTCATTGGATGTCTTAGTCTGTCCGGCTGATATAACAAAAATACCATGGAATGGTGGCTTAGCTACAGTAAATATTTATTTCTCACAATTCTGGAGGCTGGGAAGTCCAAGATCAAGGTGTCAGAAGATTCTGTTTCTAGTGAGAGCTAGGTTCCTGGTTCACAGATGATTGTCTTCTCCCTGTGGCCTCACATTTAGAAAAAAGGAAAGAAGCTCTTTGGATTTTTTAAAGGCATTAATCCCATTCATGAGGGCTCTACCCTTATGATGTAATCACCTCCCAAAGGCATTACATCTTAATACTATCACACTGGGGGTTGGAGCTTCAACATATGAATGGGGCCAGAGGGGGTGGGGGCAACATTTAACCATTGCATTGAACTACCCAAAATATCAGATGATCACCAGTTAATGAAACAAAACCAAGTATTAAAAATCACTTCAGGAAGGGACTACCATCTTGACAGAGCCTAAGTGATATCTCAGAAGGGGATTAGAAGTAGGATATTGATAGGATTTTAGAGTCTGGTCCTTTCAAGGTAGGGAACTGATTGGAGGTTTCACATGACTCAGAAGTGTTACCATATGAAGGTTTCACATGACTCAGAAATGTTACCATAATTTTTGACTATCAGGGCTTGAATCCTCCTTAATGGTGAGGTTTTTATTGTATGCTCCATTTCCAAATCCTTTTAAATTTAATGTAATAAACATGTGTAAGCCACTTGGTAAATATTAAATGTTGTTAGTGATAGGACAAATTTTTACAGAAATATTTACAATGAAGACTGAATGAAAACTTTTCTTTGGAGGCTCAGAAGAGAGAGAAATAAATTCTGAGTGAGTCAGATAAGGGAAGATTTTGGGTTGCAGATTAAAATTTGAGCTGGACGTTGAGGAGTGAAAACAAAATGATGTACAACAATAAAATAATAGTCTACCCAATTTAGTTGACACCAATAAAAAATTAAATCAATCCTATAGGTAACAAGTAGATAAATAAACTAGTTGATGGCCCAATTTTTCTTTTTTCAATGTGACCTTCTGTCATTCACAAGGCAGAATCATGAATAATTTATAACTATTGGTTTAGAAGATAATAAGCTATATTTTTTCTATATTTTGTACAGAATAATGTTTCTCAGAAGAAAGATTTGCAGTATCAATTAATATTGAGTTAAAAAGAAACAATATTTCCTCATGTTTTTCAGGTTTATTCTGTTCCCTTTCAAATCAAATGTTTAAGTTCTCTTCAATAATTATAGAATGTATATAATTGAGCAAAATTAGTTTTATGATTTTAAAATTTTTGTAAGACTTAGCTTTCCTTTGCATCTTTCATTTAGAGACAAGTCAGTAAAGAGTTAAGAGAACTGAGTTGTCTAAAGAGGCATATGGTCCAAATTTTATGTTCTTATGCCCACATAATTCCTTTTTTAAAAAGGTGTTAACACATGCAAAGGAGGGGAATCAGCCCTATTGTATTTTGTATTTTCCCTTGAATTTTAATTTAAAATGAGAACAAAATTAACAAGCCAGTTGGCTACTTTGAGCTCTGTGTAAAAAATGATCTTAATAGTATTTTGCAAGTCAGATGGATTACAGAAGCAAGTAAACTTTTACATTGATTTGTCTCATAAATGTCAAAGGCCTGAACTTAGACTGGAAAGGAATTTAACATTAACAGTACTTCGCATTACAGAAAGACTATATTAATGAATAATATACAACCCTTGATGGGAATAGGAGGTAGGCAAAGTAAAATAAAGGTAATATAAATTTGAAACAAACAAGAAATTATCCAGTTGTTGTCACTCTGAAAGAAATGTGCTAACCATGCTCTGGCCAGTGTGGCTCAGTTGGTTGGGCGTCCTCCCATGCACCAAAGGGTTGCCAGTTCCATTCCTGGTCAGGGCACATGCCTGGGCTGTAGACTCGATCCTCAGTAGGGGCATGTGGGAGGTAGCTGATTGGGATGTTATGCTCTCCCATGGATTTTTTTTTTCTATCTCTCTCTTTTCCTCTCCCTTCTTCTCTCTCTAAAAATCAATTTTAAAATATTTTTTAAAATAAAATAAAAAATGAAATGTGCTACCCAAATCTCTATTTTTATAGAGTAGATAGACTTTCACAAGAAACTGAGCAAAGCCTGATTAAAAAGAAAAGACAATTATTGATTAAAAATAGATTCTCAGTGTGTTTTACACTTTGAAAACAATACAGCTTTGTCGTGAAAATGTAATACAAAGAGCATTGTAGAAATATAGTCTATTCCATTCAGCTTTTTCCTGATAAGATCTTATTAAATAAGCAGGAAAGCAATGGTCTTTATCAGAACCATTAGTGAGACAGGAAGCTAGCAACAGCCAGGAGAGAATCTCCGTGCTCCCTCTCCTGTTCTTCTTGTTTAAAGCAGGCTCATAATTCTGTTTGTTGGTGGTTGTTTTGTTTGGGCGGCAAAATTATGCTCAGGGACTGATTTTGTCTTTGCCAGCAATTTATTTAATAAAGGTTTGCCTCGGGAATTATAATTTCACAAGAGAATAGCATACAAGATAATATCTCTTAATAAGCCAAATAAAGAACATATTCCACAGCAATGCTAGATTAATTGCATTAGTGTCCCAGGTAAAAAGGAGGAGGAATAAAAGAAATAAACTCCAAATATAGATGAGGAACCTTTGATACAAGTAGGCAGTTGGGAGAGGCACTTGGCCAACCAAGAGCTGACATCCACAGCTGCCAGCACAGAAGCAAGAGGCCCCTGTTGCTAGAGCACATTGCTAGGGAGCAAAGACACCAGTGCTGATGGACACTCAGAGCTGCTTCGGGAGTTATGACAGGGCCTCTGAATGGCTTTGACCCGCCCACAAGGAGTGCCTTCTCTTCCTGAGGCTGCTGCACTCTTGAGCTGCACTGCTGACCATCTCCTTGGCCACAGCAGGAGCAAATGCCTCAAGATCTTTGAGAGCTGTTTTGGCCAGCAAGGTGTCAGCTTGCCCAGACCAGAACACTGGGATTGTCCCCACAAACTCTCAGTATTTAGAGTTTACATATTCCCTTGCCATCATTGCTTCTCTACATGTCATCAATGACAACAGAAGAGATGGATCTTCCTCAAACAATTTCTTTTTTTATTTTTAAATACATTTTATTGATTTTTTTACAGAGAGGAAGAGAAAGATAAAGAGCTAGAAACGTCGATGAGAGAGAAACAACGACCAGCTGCCTCCTGCACACCCTCCACCGGGGACATGCCCGCAACCAATGTACATGCCCTTGACTAGAATTAAACCTGGGACATTTCAGTTCGCAGACCGAAGCTCTACCGCTGAGCCAAACCGGTTTCAGCTTCCTCACACAATTTCATTCTCATGTCAAAACAACTTAATTTTTACAACTTTGTCTTTGTTATAAACAGGTGGATCAAATTCACTTATGTCATTAAAAAGTGGATTTAAAATCATATTAAACCAATACACAGTAGTGGTGCTGAAATTTTCTCATTTTCTTTTTAATGATCAACTATTTAGGGACTGTCTTTCCCCCTTTCTGTCTGTCCTGCAGACTTGAATCCCAAATGACTGCAGACATCCAGACCATCTTACAATTGCTGCAGAAACAAACCACAGTGGTCCCCCCAGCTTACAGCATGGTGACTGCAGGAGCGGAGTATCAGAGACCCACCATCCACCTGATGAAAGCCAGTCATCTGAGAGCATCTATCAAGACGGATCGAAGTTTTAGTCCTTCCTCACAAGTGAGTGTGGATAGGGTAGAAAAGTGTGTTCTAGGGACCACCTGAATCAAAGCCACCTTGGATGCTGTGGAAAACGCAGGTTCTCATTTTACTCAGTTCTGGGAATGGACTCTGTATTCCACATTTTACACATCTCCATCCCTCCACCCTACCTCCCTTGCTATTCCCTGCTATTCTTAGGCCCATTTAAAGTTTGAGAACAATGGACCTAGAAGATTCATTTTATTTTTTTTTTTTTTTTTTTTTTTTTTTTTTTTTTTTTTTTTTCTTTTTTTTAAATACATTTTATTGATATTTCTCAGAGAGGAGGGAGAGAGATAGAGAGCTAGAAACGTCGATGAGAGAAATATCGACCAGCTGCCTCTTGCACACCCCCTACCGGGGATGTGCCCGCAACCAATGTACATGCCCTTGACCGGAATCGAACCTGGGACCTTCCAGTCCGCAGACCGACGCTCTACCACTGAGCCAAACCGGCTTCGGCAGAAGATTCATTTTAAAAAACCCTGGTCCTAAAAGCACTTCAGTGACCAGATGAATTATTGGACAGGGTCTCAGGAAGGAAGTGAAAGAAAAATAGCAGCTGGACACAGAAGACCTGAGGCTCAAGAGCAGCCAAATTAGTAATCGTAAATATCTGTACCCTACCATCACCAAAGATCTCTAAACCTTTTCTTCCCCTGGAGAATGGAAGAGGAGTCCCTCATCTTGCCTCTGAAGCCCTCCAAATTAGCCCCTCTGAATTATGTTAATTTGAAAGTCAAATTCCCTTGGAATTCTATTTTGGAAATCATTCTTAGTTAACTTAAGCACTATGGCCAAATTGCTTCTAAGAATAGTGATTTAAATAAGGGTGTACAGAACAATCGTGTAAACTTTCTTTAAAGTTTGGGAATTTAGTGCAAAATATTCTGGGAAATGAAATAATGACATAAGAAACATCCAACCCTATAGAGAATTTTTAAGAGTTTATTTTAGCCAAACTGACAACATATGTCAAGGAGCAAGATCTCAAATGCTCCAGGAATATCAGTTTTGCAGCTTCATTTGTGCATTTAAAATTAAGGAGGAAAGGTAGAAACATTCCATGGAGGCAGGAGAAAGCAAGGTCAGGTCGGGATTGGAGTACAGGATAGTTAACAACATAATGTGCTCTATTGAGGATGGTCATGTTTTATTTCAAAGGTAAGCTAACCTAGATGCACAGAAGTAATGGACAAGCCAAAGACAAACCTTTTACTAAAGACGTTATATGCCCAATTACCACAGGGTGAATTTAGAATCAGAATCAACCAATGAGATTATGCAACTGGACAATCAAGGGTCCATGCTCCCTGTCACTACTTGAGCCAATAAAGCAGAGACAGGGTTGAATCATATATGAGCGTTTATTCCATTAATGCTGGCAGTGTGGAGAGCAGCAAGTCATCCACAGAAATCTGCTCTGCACCCCACCATAAACCAGCTGCTAATAATGGATAGAAGGACAAAGATTACATGGGGAAGTAGGCAAAAGGCATGCTCAACGGGTCTGGTGATTTGCAAAGGCCTATGGGTATGCAAAGGCTGGGGGTCTTCAAAGGGCTGCTTCAAAGGGCTGGCCATTCTGGTTTCTGCAACATGGTGGTTCATCTTTCCATGATAATAGGCAGCTCCTGATGGAGAGGATGGACTGCATTTCCAGGTGAGCTTCAGCCAGGTTATAATGTCCCTTCTTCAATCAGAATAAAGCAATCACGGGTAACAGAGCATGATTAATATTTCTTACAATTAGAGTTGGTCCCCAGTATTCTATGTCTGCCCCTATCAGTTACCTTACATAGAAACCTCCCCCCACCTTTTCTTTTTTTTTTTTTTTTTTTTTAACAGAAACAAGATTAGTAACAGGAGGAAATGTGCAAATGGAAAATAATGCAGTCTTTCTAAAATATGGAAGTAGAAATTAATTTATCCCTAGTTGTGAATGATTAGGAAACACGCAAAACCACAAGCTTTGTTCTTTGCTTTCAGTGGATTTAGACAATATTTTCTGAGCAGGGATGGGCGATTTTTCTTCCTTTTTTCTTTTCTCTCCTCACAAATGACCCACATTTCCTATCCCAGTTCTGTCTTGAATTTTGAGTTAAAACTCAACTGAAAAACTCGTGTGGATCATTTGTGTAATGAAAAAATAAAAAATAAATAAATTCTCTTCTGACTTCAGAGTAAAACTAAAGTTCTTGGAATGATTGTTCAGGATTATCTAAACCCTTTGTTCAGCAAATTGCGGCTCTTTGGTCCCTTGAATATAGCTCTTCCACAAAGTACCAAGGCCTTGGCGAGTCTATTTTGAAGGTGGCATTAGAACAAGTTTAAGTTTAAAAAACTTGGCTCCCAAAAGAAATCTCAATCATTGTACTGTTGATATTTGGCTCTGTTGACTAATGAGTTTGCTGACCACTGACCTAATCTCACACCTAACTTGCAATGTCTTGACCCACCTTTGGGAGGGAAAGGTTGGCTAGTATTACTAATTAAATACAGATTGGGGGTAGGGAGGGAACATACTTAGATTTCATGAGTATAATTTTAGGATTCTGTCCAAATAAATTATAAAAATACGTTTTCTTTTCTTTCTATCAGTGCCCTGAATTTCTGGACCTTGACAAATCTAAACTCAAATCCAAAGAATCGCTCTCAAGTGGTGTGCATCTGAACACAGCTTCAGAAGACAACTTGCCTTCACGTTTAAAACAAGACAGTGAGCTCTCCCTAGAGCTTCCCTGGAGGCAAAGAAAAACCTACCTTCATCCAATTAGGCATCCTTCTTTAACAGAGTCCTCCCCCAGCACTGCAGCAATCTTGGGTCTTCATAGGCATGTTTCTGATCCTGGTCTTCCGGGGAAATAATCATTTTGTACTATTTATTCCACATACAATGTAAGTGCTTTTAATGGCTGTTTTCCTTTTTGTATTTAAATCCTCTCTACTTGACTCAGGGGCTCAAAGGTACCATTATATGCAAAAGTACTGTATATTTTCCTAAACTGAAGCTTGTGTGGTAAAATTGAGCAGTTAGGTTGTAAATATACATATGAACTCTTTTGTTCCAAATGTTAAAACTGCCAGCATCTCAAGGCACCTTATTTTTTATTTTTATTTTTATTTTTTAAATCATGTGCATGTTAGGAAACTCCATTTTCTCTTGCATGGAGACTCCTGTTTCCTGCTTTTACTAAATCAGTACTTTGTTATGAAAATGCCTTCAATTAGGAACCAACGGATAAAATTTGTTCACGGATGCAACTCAGATGATCCTCAACTCAAGGAAGTTCAAGGAGGAAAAAGGGAACTTAGTCACTTTTGAGAACTGATATTCGTAGTTAATTACATTCATTCCACCCCATACTAACAAAAAAAAAATTGCAGTTTTAGAGTTAGAGATCTCTGACTATATACTAGTACTAAATACACGAATATAGACAAGTATTAATGAGGACAAAAAGGCCTTTTTGTTTAAAATTCTGTCACTCACTGCATTTACAAATTACCTAAAATGCTTTCCACTGGCACATTTCCTTGAATGATTAGAAGCAGGTTTCTCTAATTTTCTACTTTTTGGGGGGTGGGAAGAGAGAACTATTAACGAGTAACTGACAAAAACTGATATCCACAGCTTTCTTCTAATATATATTTTAGAGCAATCTTGATCAAAAGAGTAAAGGCACATAGTTTTTTGTTGTTGTTTTTTTAAAGTGCAATTTTAATGCGTTTGCCTGGCAAAGCTAGTTTTCGTTGAGTATAAGTTATTCTCTGGCTTTCTAACCCCGGCTGTGGGAAAACAGTGTACATTTCCTTGCCGATGAAGGAAATGCACACCCACCAACAGTAAAATTCCAGTTTTATTGTACACACATTTGCTAATCAAAGATTAAATGAATATATATTGACCCTAGAATATTGGAATATCTGAATATATTCCATTTAATATTCCATCAGAATATTAAAATATATTCATAATGCAATGTCTTAATATTTTTAACTGTTAGATTTTCTTTTGTAGAGGGAGGCCTAAATCGCTTTTAAAATCAAGGCACAAAAAAAATGTGCAAGTTAATTTAGAACTCTGACTAGTCAAGTTCTAGTTAAGTTGCTTTATTTTTCAATTCGTTTGAGGACAAGTTTAAACATATTATGAGCTCAAGCATTATATTCATTTCTTCTGGACAAAAATTTGAAATTTCTTGAAGTTTTCTAAGTCCTTCACTAATTCTTATACTCATATAGTTTTAAAGAAATACTATACCTGTGCACATTATTTAATATAATATATTTCTATCCTATCTATGCTTGTCAAATACAAGCAATTTGTTTACATTAACAAAAACTATTGCTCTTCTTAAAATATGATTAAAGTAACCTTAAATGGTTCCCTATATATTTTTAAACGGTCACATAAATTGCTAACATATGTGGGAAACAATCTATAGGCATGAGCATGTTAATCCCTGCTTAATTTTTGAAACACCAAAACATTTATAATCAAGTACGGATGGCAATATGATCAATTCAGTAGAAGTATAAAAATTTTAGCCAGCTTTCCCAAACTATTTGGTGTTTTACACGTAGAAACTTAGGGACTAACTGCTGCTTTTATTTCCTCATTCAACGAACATTTGTGGGTGCCAAACAGGGGAGAGAGAAAAGGCTAACTCTAATTCAGAGGATGATTTAGGGATTTTATTTCCATATTTAGGCACATTTTTGCAGCTGCAACAAATTTCATAAGGATTGCCAGCTTGAGCTCCAGGGAAATTCAAAATAAATTCACCAGAGACTGTTCATTTGTAGGGAGAGAGAATTTGGCAGGTGAGGAAGTTAGATCTGATTGTTTGATTAGTGAATGCTTCAGCGGCAACATTTGTTATGGCATGCATAAAATCCACCCTTCCACATAAAGCCACTATGCTTCTCTATAAAAACTGAGCATGAAGGAATGGGAAGATGGGGGACAGCATGCAAGCATTCAACTTTTTTTTAAACTGTAGCATGATACAAACCTTTTTTGGTTAGCCTTTATAGAAATCAATTGCTTGATATTAAAATCTAAGTCAGAGAGTTAGGATTAGGAAAATCCCTTCCCACAAGGCATGAGTTTAAAAAGAGCCGAGCAACATAAAGATGCCATTACTCAGTCAAAATGTCAGAAGACTCAATGGTTAAAATGCCTTATAGATGACCAATGCAGTTATCTTAATTTACAAAATTCATCCCTTTGTCCCAGCCGAAGACCTAATGCCTAAAATCACTGTCACTTTCCTCATGGGACGTAGCAAAAACAGTCCGACCCCTCCATCATGGGACCCTACTGAAAGCAGGGTTTACCTGCTACAGCCAATGCTAAGGGCAGTATAGCAACTGCTCTCCCTTTGGGTAACTAAAAGCACTCACATAACACCTTTTGCTTTCCTCCTAAAGATATTGCTACCTGGTCCCCAGGCCTAAATAAAATGCCATCTAAAATCTAAACGTTATTTGGGTTAGATGTTTCCTACTGTTATTAATTGCTTAGCAGAGTGTTAATACTTAGACTTATAATTTTACCCTGCAGGGGAGACCCATGCTCTAATTAGTTAACAAGAAAACCAAGAGTGAAAAGTGTTGAAGCAATATTCTTGCATGGCTTTAAAATTAACAACCACTCATTCAACAAGCATAGGAAGGTAGAGGCACATTTGGGACAGAGTTTCTCAAGCCCATTATAATGGTTGGTCAGCACAGCTGACCTTCCAATTCTCCAAATGAGGGAATAAGAAATCCAGTCAGGGCAGAGTGGCATGTGGTGTTTCATTTAATATGCGTGTGTAACAGTTGCTTACAAGGTCCTTTGGGAATTTGATCTCTAGCAATGGTTCCATAATGCCCAGAAGAACAATGTCTTATCCAAATGTTATTTTAAAGCCCCATCATATATTGTGTAAGAAAACGTATCACCTCGTCACCATATCTAAAATAATAATTGACAATATCTTTTCTCCTGAACAATTTCCATGGTTAGAAAATTGAATGCAGTAAATCTAGTTGCTAAACGTAAATTACAACATTGACTAATTTAATATAGTGTAATCTTTAGATTGCTTATCTGTGGTTAAAATCAAAACTAGATCACTATATTTAACCAGGTTTCTTATTTCAGATAAAAACATTTATAAATTACTAAATAATTCAAATGTTATTAGTTTCCAATGACATTTTTGTGGTAAAACAAATGTGTCTATCAGGTGGGTTCAGAGTCACTAGGAAGACAAGATGAGATGACATTAAGTGTGGTCCTCAAATTAGGAGCACTAGCACCAACAACCTGGAAATTTAGAGACATGCACATTCTTGGGCCCCTCTCAGACCTACTAAATCAGACCCTCAGGTGGTGGGACCCAGCAATCTTTTTAAGAAGGCATTCCCCATAAAATCCAGATGCACATGAAAACTTTCAGAATGAACAATGAGAGTATGGGCTCTGCAGTCAGACCATCTTGGGAATCAGTGTGAGTTCTTTCATTCATAGCTGTGTAACCCTAAGCAAGTTAATTAATATCCTCAAATCTTTTCTCTAAATCTGTAAAATGAGATCATCGGACCTGCCTTGGGGAAGCTTGAGGAGGAAATTAGATACCATATATTAAAGTTTCTGGCACATAGTAGGTGCTCAAAAAATGTTAGATTCTTTGGTTCTCATCCAGGAACATGACATTTAAATCAGAAAAATAAATAATTTTTAATTTAGCTTTTGCACAGTGCTGTCTCCAACTAAACAGCTGTTACCAAGACTGAAGTTTTTGATTCAGAAAAACACAAATGTAGCTATTGTTTCATCTCTCTTAATTGTATTTTGTCCTGATTAGGTTTAGAGCTTTAAAGAAATATTTATTATGTACAATAATAGAGTATGATTTTCATGGTTACAAATGCATCTATGCTGAATCAGTAGCAAAGGCCCAGGGTGCAAAGGCCATCTGTCGAATTCATTGCTACCAGAATGGATTCTGTAGGCTGCTTCATTGTGGAAGCACCTCTTTACATTCATGGGATATAATTCCAAATGGATGTTTAAAAAAAACATTTTCAAAATACAATTTTGAAAGAAAATACACTTTCTATTTTTTTTTTCATAAAATAGATTTTTCAAGTTACAATTGTTTTTTTCAGGCAACCAGGCCTGCTCCCTCACTATACACAGCTGTATTAGACAGCCTAAGCTCTCATGTGAAATGGTGCCAATGGCAAGATTCAATATGATAAATCTGAATTCAAATGTGACCTTCTCCACTTACTCTCATGATAAACTCTCAAAGGCCCCAATATCCAAAACTATAAAAATGGAGGTAATATCCTAAATATCTTCAAGAGATGAATTAGGTGTCCCCCAAAATATATATACCCACCTTCAATAAGTGTTTATTCTAAAGGATTAAGTCTGAAAAAAACATTGGAATAATTACTAAAAGTGTGTATATATTTTTGGGGACACCATATATATTATGTGAAAATGTTTGGCAAACCAAAGCAGTAAAAAACTGGAGATCATCATGTGACTTGTCCACAATCAAGGAGATGGTGATATTATGGTGGAAGTGCAGTAGAATCAGACAGTCTTCTGAAAACCTTCCATTGCTTTCCCCTACTCAACACTGATCGCATTTACACCCTATGACAAAAATCTATGAAAGATATTAACCAATATTAACTGAACAAATTTTTAAAAAATCTACGAAAATATTCTCACACAAGCCAAGATCCATTTGCTCAGAGCAGGAGAACGCCAGTGTTAGGGACATTTCCTCTGCTACAACATCCCAATATTTGTCAAATATTGCCTTGTCCAACATTCATAAAATTCTACATTTATTTGT